CTCGCATTTTTGTTCCATCAGGCTTGAATAGTGGTAAGAGGATATTACTATGGAATATCAGACTCGTATATCTGTTTTAATGTTTTAGCTGTGCCACATTCTTTTATAAATTATATTGCGTGAATTGAAACTACTTAAGATTTTGATATTACAAGCAGTCAATACTGGTTATCAGGAGTCAATACTGACTTGATCACAATCAATGAATCACCACTGTAAACTGTCAGCTGCTTAAAAAGAGTTCAAATGATTAACTATTTTTATAAATGTATCTACAGAGAACTCGGATGTAGTTCAGAGATTCTGATGCAATTTTTTTTAAAAAAAATGGAGCTTCATACCAACTAAATCGTATTTTAAAATTTTAATGTGTCAAGGCATTGACAATGATCTCGACTGAGAACTTAGATTTAAATGACAGGTGAATCTTTTTTACATAAATGAACGGTCATAATTTGGTCTAAGTTGAAAACTGAAAACTGCCTGCCTAGTAAATTTGAAGACCTCTTATTATTTTTCACTGAAACCAAGTCTAGACTAATTCAATTTTTTTTGTAAAATGCCACTTCAAAGCTTTTAAGGTTCCTGTTTAAGTTTTGCTCAATACATTTAAATACTTCTTACAAATCCAGACTTTAAAATTACAGGTAGTCCTTGACTTATAACAGTTCATTTAGTGACTGTTCAAAATTATAATGGCACTGTAAAAAAATGGACTTATGACCATTTTTTACACTTACGATCGTTGCAGCCTACCCATGGTCACGTGATCAAAATTCAGATGCTTGGCAACTGATTTCATATTTATGACAGTTGAGGTCCTGGGGTTATGTCCCCTTTTGTAACCTTCTCACAAAGTCAATGGGGAAGCCAGATTCACTTAACAACCATGTTACTAACTAAACAACTGCAGTGATTCACTTAACCATAGCAATAAAGGTCCTAAAATGGGGCAAAATTTACTTAACGAATGTCTTGCTTAGCAACAGAAATTTTGGGCTCAATTGTGGTCATAATTCAAGGACCACCTGTATATGATCTATATCTGCCTACTTTAAATTCAATATTGTTAGAACTGGCTTTTTTAAATGTCTCTGGATTGCAACCAGAGCTTCAAAAATAAATTCTACTTTCTAACACTATGGTACCAGATGTTGCTTCAAAATTCTACCATGAAGATCAAGAAAAGTTATTATGAAGACATATGTCTCTCTCTGCTTCTTTAGAAAATGGTTTTGAAAAATTGAGGTACCTATTACTTTAATGTACTGCAACACCTGATAAAAAGTACAGTATTTTCCAAAACTAGATCTTTACCTCTGCAGTAGTTTTCTTGCTTGGCGTCCTTGGATCTATTAGCATGAAAGGAGGAAGAAATTCAAGAAAATCAAACTGCAATTAAATGTTTTGTCTCACCTAGCAATTATTTTAAATCCTTGGAGCACTGAGAAAATAAGAATCTTGGACACAGAAAATCAGATGGAAACAATAAAGAAATGGGTATATTAAAAAAAACCCAGGAAAAATACAAAAAAAATTGACTTTGCCTATTTCTCTTTTTCAAGCACCGAAAATACACCAAAACTGAAAATGCAGTAGACCATGTGGGATTATAACATCATACTGTGTAAGTGGTTTTCCATTAATTGGTTATACATCTTTTACCTTCCATTCAGAACTGTTGCTTTAATCATATGCAGTATTATTCTTCACAGCATTGTACCTAATAAGAGCAGTATAACTTTCTACACCTATTCTCAATTCAGGAATAAAATATCTGAACAATTACACTGAACAATTAAAGACATTTCAATAGACAACCAACTTGAAAACAAGGAGATAGGAATTTGTAAACAATATTTTAGATTAATCTGATTAGAATTAAGAATGCTTAGTAGTAAAAGAACTGTTAAAATAAATATATTCAAATTCAGATTGGTTTTAAATCTCAAATAAAAGAGCAAAAGCTAGTTTTTCATAATATGTAATGTCATCAATCAAATGTAAAATACAATTGATTCAATAGGGAGAATTTATTGTGAAATTGTTATTTATTATTTTCATTAATGCATTCAATACTTGTATAAATATTTATTAAACTGGCCATCTATATATATTACGAATATATTCTACAAATAGAAAACATCAGTATTTTAGATGGGGCGTTGTCTTACCTGAACGCCTTTTCTCAGCATGATGATGGAGAATCCAGATGGGTTGATCTTGCCTTTCTGCCTTAGAGACTAAGTCAATCAACCTTTGCCATGCCTCTCTTCCTCTGGCTAGGAATCCCCAGTCACGACGAAGGCACAGCAGCTGATGATTTTACAAGGTGGTGGCTCAAATTCCCCTGACACAGGGCCGGATGGACCCAAGTGGGGGGGAGTGGATTCTCCATCGTCATGCTGAGAAAAGGCGTTCAGGTAAGACAACACCCCTTCTCCAGCATGATGAATGGAGACTCCACAGATGGGACATACCAAAACCTCACTGTCCCTATGGGCGGGAAGAAGTCTGGGCCTGTGTCCCAATATCTGTTACTACCCTTTGGAGAACTCTCCTGCCAAATGAAGCATCTGCTGAGGCGAACTTATCCAACTTATGCCTCACAAATGGGGAAGGAGACGACCACGTCGCCGCCTTGAATATCTCAACTGATGCCTGTGTCGCCCACGCCGCTGAAGTTGCCGCACTGCAAGTGGAGTGTGCAGTGATTCGTCTTGGAACTGGCAAGGAGTGTGTCTGGTACTCCCCTACTATGCAAGCCCTAATCCAACTGCCAATAGTAGAGGCAGTCACCTTCCGACCTATAGAAGAGAGGTGGAATGAAACGAATAGAGCTTCAGATTTGCAAAGAGGCAGTAAATGGCAGGTATGCTATTTACGTTCCAAATCATGGGACAGGTCAGGACAAAATTCTGGCAGTACAAGCTCCTGCACCCTGTGAAACAATGAGTTGATTTTGGGGACAAAGGAGGGGTCTAAGCGTAGGACTACCCTGTTGTTATGAAAAATACATGTTATCTCTAATTGAGAGTGCTGCCAATTCCGAGATGCGCCTACCTGATGTGACGGCTACTAGGAAGGCGACCTTGAGTGTCAAGAAACGTAGAGTGGAGGTTCTGACAGGCTCAAATGGAGGTGAAGTGAGAGCCTGTAAGACCTTGGACAGGTCCCAAGAGGGATACCTGTGAACTACGGGCGGTTTGCTGTTGATTGCTCCCCTGACAAAGGAACATACCATGGGGTGTTGAGCCAAGGGTCTGAGTTGCCATATGTGAGCACCATGGACAGGGCAGCAACTGATCTGAGAATTGTGTTGGGTGCTAAACCCTTCTTAAGTCCCTCCAGTAAATAATCCAAAATTCTTGGGATAGGAATTGTAGCTGGATCTAATTGCTGTCTCCCACACCAGCTACAGAAATTCTTCCATGTGGAATCATAGATTCTATTAGTTGCAGGCCGTCTTGAAGCCTGAATCATGACAATCACATCTGACGAGTAGGTCTCTATTATTAGGAGTCCCCTTTCAAATGACAGGCGGTTAGCTGGAGCCATTGAGGCTTTGGGTGTTGTAGAACCCCCTGGCTGAGGGAGATTCGATCTTGGGGTATCCTCCACGAAGAGCTTGAGAGACCTACTAGGTCAGCATAACACGGCCATCTTGGCCAGTGGGGAGCAACGAGTATCCCCGTTCCTGCAGTTATCTTCCGGATAACTGCCTGGATCAGAGGGAGAGGAGGGAACACATACAGGAGCTCTCTGGGCCATGGGCTACGGAAGGTATCTACCCTTCCCGCCCCTGGAGACGGGAACCAGGAGAAGAATCTCGGGGGCTGGAAATTCGCCGGGGTAGCGAACAAGTCCAGCACTGGATGACCGAACCTCTCCGATATCTCCCTGAAGAGATCTGGGTGCAGGCGCCACTCGGAGTGGTCCACTGTGGTCCTGCTCAAGAAATCCGCTTGCCGGTTCATCTCTCCCAAGATGTGCTCCGCCTTGAGGGATGAGAGGTTGGTCTCTGCCCAGGTTCCTAATAATTGAGCCTCAGCCATGAAAGACCGGGAGTGGGTACCCCTTTGCCTGTTGATATGAGCTTTCGCCGCCACGTTGTCCGTGAGGACTAAAATGTGGTGCCTTGCCACTGTGTTGTGAAAGTGTCGTAGAGCCAGATGTATAGCTCTGAGCTCCAACCAGTTTATGTTGTGCTTCAGATCTGTCCGGGACCACCGACCCTGGGCCAACTGGAATTGCAGGTGCGCTGCCCAGCCGAACAAGCAGGCATCTGATGTTAGGATGAGTCGGTTGGGCTCCTTAAATAAGGTTCCCCTGGCCATCACTGGGAGACCCACCACTGGAGGGATTTCAGGGTCTGTGACGGGACCTGTACCCTGTGGTTGGAGGAACTGGTGCCTAGTCTCTGGAATGGGAGCAAGAACCATTGGAGGGCTCTGGAGTGGAGCTGAGCCCAAGGAACTACTGCTATGCAGGAAACCATATTTCCTAGCAGTTGAGAAAAGATTGCTAGGGTGACTACTCGCCCCCTTTGAATCTGGATGACTAGGGATCGGATACTGTCCTGACATTCCTGAGACAGGTAAACCTTGCACTTCCTTGTATCTATCACTGTGCCCAGGTGAAGGAGGCGAGTGGAGGGAACTATCTGGCTTTTCTGAAAATTTACTGAAAACCCGTGGTCCTGGAGGGTCTTGATGGACAATGCCAGTTCTGATTAAGCCAATTGTACTGAGGAGAATTGAATGGGGATGTTGTCCAGATAACACTGGACATGCAGCAGGATGGTCCTCAGATGCACAGCAAGCGCCACCAGGACCTTTGTGAGTGCTCTGGGGGCCGATGACAGGCCGAATAGTAGCACTCTGTACTGAAAATGGTGGCCTGCGTAGCAGAACCTGAGGAATTTCTGGTGTCCGGAAAGTATGGGAATGTGTAGGTAAGCCTCTGTCAGGTCGATGGACATCAGGAGGTCCCCCCTTCTCTTTTTTTTTAAATACAGTTTTATTAAGTTTTTCAATTTTTACAACAAAGTACTTAGGAAACAACGTGGTGATGGGGTAGTCAATTATCCAAAAACCAACACATTTATGTATAATTCAAATTAACTCATTAAAATTCCCTCTCTAGTTCCCACCAATCATGTAACATATTCAGATTAATACATTTCTAGCACAAATCCATCAATCAATAGAATTTATAAAAAGCCATTAATTGTAAATAAATCCCAATCCTGTATTTAAGCTTTACAAAATTCCAATTACCATATTTCAATTAGCCATTTAAACTTATTATTTAAATTTCAGGTATCCGTAATTTCCCTCTATTCATAACATAATAATTATAATATCTACAAAGAAAGAGAAAAAAAGCATATTATTCCCACACTTACATTCTTATATTTCCTAAACATATTCTATTCTTGTTCTAATATCTCCTCATTTACTAATACCATATCTTCTATTAACACAATCCGTTTTCTTATTCTCCATCCAATACAGAATAATTATCATACATAAACACATTAATTCAAAAAATACAGTCTATCTCTCAGATATATATTCTACTAGCCAAAAATTTTCCTCCCACTTATAATTCTAAATCTTAAACCTTAAGTCAATCCGTGTCTAAAAAGCCTTTTTAACCCATTACATACAATTTTAGGTCACACTCTTAAGTCTTATTTTAGCTTTCTTTTTGTGCCAAGAAGGTTTCCTTACAGAGCCTCTATATCAACAAATAAATCTCTCTTTATTCCTCGTGGTATCATTTGAGTTTAAAAAAAAAAAATAGTCCCATCCTCTGTTTTAGGAACCTGACTCCTTTGTAACTGATCCCTTGTTGCCTTAAAAATTCAACTCTCGACATTTGATTCTGCTGAGTAAGACATTCAATTATGTCCAATTTTGTGGTTAATAGTTGGTTGTCAAAATTGTCATAGTTCTCAATAAATTGTATTTGTGCGTTCATTCCTGTTACTTTTGAAATTGTATATGGTTTAGTTAAAGTCACTTTTTGATCATCAAGAGTCTCAATAGGTTGTATACAGAATGGCATAGAATCTTTTGATTGAATTGAATCCTCTTCCGTTGTTTTTTGGTCTGTAGGATAGTCAAATGAAGTCTGGAGGTCAGTTTGTAAATTCAAAGCAGAGTTTCTGTTTTTTATTTCTGTAGTAATCTCTTTTATTTTAACGCATACTTGCTCAGTGGCTTCATAGATTTTTTCCAATATAAATTTACAGTTGAGTTGTAAATAGGGTTTCTCCATTTCAATAGTAACTATAGACAGTCCTGTTATCTTTTAGTGGAGGCTATATTTAATAACAGTTAGCCAATGTCCAGCCCCACAGATTTAACAGCTGTTGAACTTCTTTATCTTTTCCCTTTTATGATGATCTGAAGGTCAAAGCCAACCTCAGCATCAAATAAGAAAAAAAAACAGTTGCTTTTTTTAAATTTCTCCACAAAGTGTCCTCAGTAGATTATAAAATCTCTTCCCAGACCCAAAAATATCGTTAAGAAAATCAGGAAAAAATAGTATTCTTCACATATAAACTAAATCCAATAATGAAATTCAATAAGAATTTTTTCAAGACTCCAAAGTAAATAGAAGTAAAAAATAGTCAATGAAATTAATTTTCTTTCTTTTTTCAAAGCTTCTCTTCCCACACTGACAAACGATGCTCTCTCAAAGAAGGGAAATAATTCCAAAAATGCTTTTTACAGGAAAAAAAAGGCTAAGAGAGGAAAGAAAAGGTCTCACCCAGATCAACCACGGTGGTTCTATACACTTAAATGTTCTTCTGACTTTCGGTTACTGCAGCAAAGTGATCAGCCATTTTACTGGCCGATCTTTTCTTCGTTGGCCCTAAAGAGCAATCTCGGACCGCGGAAGGAGCTGCCGCCCTTCCACAGTCGATGAGGAGGTCCCCCCTTCTAATGCCTGCTAATATGGATTGGAGTGTTTGCATCTTGAACTTCTTGTATGCCAAATGGATATTTAATTTCTTTAAATCTAGGATTGCCCTCCACCCTCCCGAGGCCTTTGGAACAATGAACAGAATGGAATAAAAACCCCATCCCTTCTGTCCTGCCGGTACCATTCTATGGCCTGGATCTCCAGGAGATGTCGAATGGCCTCTTTCATGAGGCTTCTTTTGACCAGATTTTTGGATGATGGGCAAGAGACAAAATGCCTCAGGGCGGTGGAGTTGAACTCTAGAATCAGGCCAAATCTGATGGTGTTGAGGATCCAGAGATCTGTAGTAGTGTCCTCCCATTTGTGTGCAAAGAGAGCCAACCTGCCCCCTATGGGAGGGGCACCCTTGCTGTCACTTGGACCGCCTAAAAGGACGACCTCCCATCCCTCGAAAGGGCCGCTTGGTCTGAAATTGCTGTCTGGACCTGTCCCTGTTAGTGAATTCTGACCCTGTGTCGGTGGGGCAAAAGGACTGCTTGTGGGCGTAAGGGGTAGCTCTGTCTGCTCTCTTAATAAGATGGGACATGACCTTGCACTTATCCTCATTCTCATTCAGATAAGGGTTTAGTGCCTCTCCAAATAACTGGCCTCCCACGTAAGGGGCTGAGGCCAACTGCCACTTGGACCTAGCATCCGCTTTCCACTGTCTGAGCCACAAAAGTCTCCGAGAGGTGATATTAGACGCTAATGCTCGAGAGGAAAATCTGGCCGCGTGCAAGGATGAGTCCACCATGTACTCTGATGCAGCCACTAATTTGTTTAAGTCTTGGTGCATCCGTACCTCTTCAGGCGGGACCCTAGCTTGCAACTGGTGGAGCCAGAGAAGTGAAGTTCTGGCGAAAAAAGAAGTAGATGCAGCTGCCTTTACCGCCCATGCTAAGGCTTGATGAGTCCTGCGGAAATTAAGCTCCGCTTTCTTATCCTCTGATTTCAAAGCCTCCGCTGTATCTCCAGACACCGTGAAGGAGGAAACCAATGATGCTAATGGCTCATCTACCATGGGGACTGCTAGCAACTCTGACAGTGCTGAAGCCACATTAAACAATTTTTTGTCAGTTTCCCCCGGGGATGGAAAAGTACCAGGTGCCTCCCATTGTCTTTGGACTATGTTGAGGAATAGGGGAGGACAGGGAATGTCCTGCTGAGTGAAAGTGGGTTCTGAAAAGACCTGACTGGTAGGTCCCTGGTTGGTGGAAGGTTCAGCCTGAGGGGCCCCCTCAGAACCAATCTGAGCAGTGCTCCTGGCCTTGTGAAGTAGGGATTTAAAGAGGGCCGGATTAAACACACTCATGAAAGGAGAAAGATCAGGGGATAAATTCTCATCTTCTGACATCTCCTGTTCTGTCTGTTCGTCGTCCCCTATGAACGACCCTCTACTCATGGAGGAATTGGAGGGGGACACTGACCCTTGGTATGCAGCTGCTTCCGCCTGGGAGAGATATGATACATTGCTGTGAGATGGAATCCCTGACTCAGGTCGAGCTTTCTGTTGTAGGGTTGAAGCTACACCTTGGGCAATAGCCTGAGAAATCAGTAGCTGCATTCGTTCTAATAATTCTGTCTCCTGAGCCTCTGGAGGGCGAAGCCCTGCTGCTGTAGGAGTGAATGTGGCCTCTGGGCCCAGAGGTCTAGCTGTACCTGGAGGAGTAGGGATATGAAGGCCAAGCCCCTCACTGGAACGGGGAACCATCTCCACCTGTTCTGCCATGGGAAATATGAACTGACTTGTTTCCCCTTTTGGAGACCAGGCACTTGAAGCAGCAGAGGTTGATGGAGCCGATGCCTCCTTGGGAACAGAAGTAATCTGACCAACCTTTGGATCATTCTTTTGCCTTGCAGCTTTGGATAATTGTTTTTCCAATGCCTGGTGCCTTCTGCTTGCTTCCTTCTCAGCAGCTTCGGAAGAGATAGCTTTGGATCTGAATTTCCCAGCAGCCTCCTGATTGGGTGATCTGGATTTCTGGTGCCTGGAGGAACTGCTGGAGGCGCCTTGAGATATCTGAGCTTCTGTGGTTTTATCTGCCATTGCAAAATCAGAGATATCACAGAAATGGCAATCTCAGTGTTTGTAACAGAGAGATGATCCTAGCAAGGAGTCAAGTTGTGGTTAGAAGTGGTGGCGGCACAACTAACTTAATGGGATAGTCAGCACACTCACAATCCTGGTAGTGGTGGCAAAACCAACTTAATGGGGTAGCCAACACACTTATAAACAGCGAAATCAGTGGTGGGAAGAGGCGCTGTGGCAATTAAAGCGGGCACTCAGCCACGCTCTGAAGTCTTTGGAAATTGTGTCCAGACACAGTGAAGGAGGCTGTTTTTGTTGCCTCTAATTGTAATAGCCTTGGTATGCTGCGAGCTGCCAAGGAGCCTGGAATTGGAGAAGCAGCACCCCCTCCACTCAGGAACAATAAAAGCGGCACTCAAAATGGAGACCACTACACTTCTGCCTGCCTGGAAGCTATAATTAGCTCGAGACTTCAGCCAAAGCCTACAAAACCGCTGACACTCAGCCGTTTGAAAAGCAGTGCTAATATCAGCCCAGAGAAGGGAAGGGAAGAGTACAACCTGGGAAAATCCAGAGTTTTGTCTTTCTGCTAGAAACAAGAGCCAATCTTCACCACGTCTCTCTTGGGCTAAGACTAAGTCGTGATTGGGGATTCCTAGCCGGGGGAAGAGAGGCGTGGCAAAGGTTGATTGACTTAGTCTCTAGGGCAGAAAGGCAAGATCAACCCATTCTCCATTTGTCATGCTGGAGAATATAGCAATCATTCTCCCACACATATAACTGATAATCCTCAAGTCATAACCATTTTTTCATTGACCAGTGCAAGTTATAATAGCACCGAATGAAAGGATTCGTATTTGGTCCTCAAAGTTTCAGCCATTATAGCAACCCACATAGCCACATGGAGAAAATTCAAATGCATGGCAATCAGCTCGCACTTGTGATTGGTTGCAGGATCACGACTGCCATTTACAACTTTCCGTGCCAGCTTCCAACAAGCAAAGCTAATGGGATAGGCAAAGTTACAAATTGTTCAGGTAAGTCTCACCCACCCTTGCCTGTCTTTGCTCACAAGCATGATACTCTCTTTCTCCTTTCACTTGCACATACCATTGCCCTCTTTCCTCAGCTTCCCTGAACTCACACAAATACACACTCAAGCACCTCACACACTCTTCCTATCCTCCTGTGCGCTCTCTCTCTCTCTCTCTCTCTCTCTCTCTCTCTCTCACACACACACACACACTATCATGCCCTTTTTCCCTAGCCTCCCTACATTCGCACACACCTTGTGCCTTTTTTCCTTAGCTTCCTGAACTTGTAACTTGCACACATTCTATGCTCTCTTTCCCTGGCCTTCGTATGCTTGCAAGAAAGCCATATCCTCTTTCCTCACTCTTCCTGCACACACACACACACACACACTTACTTTCCTTACCCTCCCTGCACTCATACACATGCAGACACCCTACAACTTTTTTCCCTTGCCCTGCCCTGCCCTTCCATGCCCCCTGCACCCAATTTTCCCAGTCTTCCCGAGACCTCTCCTCCAATTTCTGCATGGCCAGCATTGGGTTACAATTTGTTCTGTTCTCTTTTATTTAACCTCTCCATTGATATTAGCCTGCAGTGTTGCACGCTAACTCTGCCGACTGCCAGTAGTTTCTTCCTGACTGGCTCAAGGTTGAATCAGCCTTCCATCCTTCTAAGGTCAGTAAAATGAGAACCCAGATTGGTGGGGGCAATATGCTAACTTGTAAACCACTTAAGAGAGGGCTGTAAAGCACTGTGAAGCGGTATATAAGTCTAAGTGATATTGCTATATTATTATAAATACTTTATTAGCAAAAAAGCATTCTGTCAATTTTTGTTTTCTCAAATCTCTTAACACAAATCACTTTTTGGCTCATCCAATCAACATAATTGTTTAAAGTAACAAAATCCATGCATCCTTAAAAGCATATATTTCTGAATGAATTCCAATAGTAATGTAATTGTACATAGAATATGTTAAATTTGGGAGGACTATTATTTTGTTGATAACAGCCCATCTCATGTAACAAGCAGTCTTCACAATAAAAGCAGTCACAAAATTATTATATTTTATATATACATATACATATATATCTATACAGTGGGGCAAAAAAGTATTTAGTCAGCCACCAATTGCGCAAGTTCTCCCACTTAAAAAGATGAGAGAGGCCTGTAATTGTCATCATAGGTAGACCTCAACTATGAGAGACAAAATGAGAAAACAAATCCAGACAATCACAGTCTAATCTGGAAAGAATTTATTTGCAAATTATGGTGGAAAATAAGTATTTGGTCACCTACAAATAAGCAAGATTTCTGGCTCTCACAGACCTGTAACTTCTTCTTTAAGAGGCTCCTCTGTCCTCCACTCATTACCTGTATTAATGGCACCTGTTTGAACTTGTTATCAGTATAAAAGACACCTGTCCACAACCTCAAACAGTCACACTCCAAACTCCACTATGGTGAAGACCAAAGAGCTGTGGAAGGACACCAGAAATAAAATTATAGACCTTCACCAGGCTGGGAAGACTGAATCTGCAATAGGCAAGCAGCTTGGTGTGAAGAAATCAACTGTGGGAGCAATAATTAGAAAATGGAAGACATACAAGATCACTGATAATCTCCCTCGATCTGGAGCTCCACGCAAGAGCCGAGGTGGCGCAGCAGTTAGAGTGCAGTACTGCAGGCCACTTTAGCTGACTGTGTTCAGCAGGTCAGCGGTTCAAATCTTACCGGCTCAAGGTTGACTCAGCCTTCCATCCTTCCGAGGTAGGTAAAATGACGACCCAGATTGTTGGGGGCAATGTAAATATATACATTGCTTACTGGTGTACACCGCTTAGAGAGTGCTTGCACTTAAAGCGGTATATAAGTCTCATAAATAAATAAATAAATAAATCTCACCTCATGGGGTCAACATGATCACAAGAGCAAAAATCCCAGAACCACACAGGGGGACCTGCAAAGAGCTGGGACCAACGTAACAAAGGCAACCATCAGTAACACACTATGCCGCCAGGGACTCAGATCCTGCAGAGTCAGACGTGTCCCCCTGCTTAAGCCAGTACATGTCCGGGCCCGTCTGAAGTTTGCTACAGAGCATTTGGATGATCCAGAAGAGGATTGGGAGAATGTCCTATGGTCAGATGAAACCAAAGTAGAACTGTTTGGTAGAAACACAACTCGTCATGTTTGGAGCAGAGAGAATGTTGAGTTGCATCCAAAGAACACCATACCTACTGTGAAGCATGAGGGTGGCAACATCATGCTTTGGGGCTGTTTCTCTGCAAAGGGACCAGGACAACTGATCCGTGTACAGGGAAGAATGAATGGGGCCATGTATCGTGAGATTTTGAGTGCAAACCTCATTTCATCAGCAAGGGCATTGAAGATGAAACGTGGCTGGGTCTTTCAACATGACAATGATCCTAAACACACCGCCCGGGCAATGAAGGAGTGGCTTCGTAAGAAGCATTTCAAGGCCCTGGAGTGGCTTAGCCAGTCTCCAGATCTCAACCACATAGAAAACCTTTGGAGAGAGTTGAAAGTCCATATTGCCCAGCGATAGCCCCAAAACATCACTGCTCTAGAGATCTTCATGGAGGAATGGGCCAACATACCAGCAACAATGTGTGTCAACCTTGTGAAGACTTACAGAAAACGTTTGACCTCTGTCATTGCCAACAAAGGATATATAACAAAGTATTGAGATGAACTTTTGATATTGACCAAATACTTATTTTCCACCATAATTTTCAAATAAATTCTTTCCAAATCAAGACAATGTGATTGTCTGGATTTGTTTTCTCATTTTGTCTCTCATAGTTGAGGTCTACCTATGATGACAATTACAGGCCTCTCTCATCTTTTTAAGTGGGAGAACTTGCACAATTGGTGGCTGACTTTTTTGCCCCACTGTATATGCAGGACGTTTTTCAGACAGACCAGTCTGATTGATTACACCTTGACATTTTTAACTGCTATACTGCAGTTTTACTTTTTACCATCTCTTTTGCCTTGCAGCCCCCCAACTAGGGGTGTTAAGTAGGCTCAAGTCGCAACTGCAAAACATTACAAATCCAAATCCACACCCTTTTTTCTGTATATACTCCCTTGACTCGGCTGACAAAGAGGGGAGGAGAACCTGTGGCTTGGTGGTTAAATCACTGCCTAGTATGTAAACTGCCCAGGTTCAAATCCCATAAAGGGTATGGCTAACTGAAGAGAGCAGAATGAGCTCGAAATGGCCATCTTAATCTCCCAATTTAGTTCTTTAACTCTTTGTCAGAAAAATATATAGTATATAGTATATATATAATAGTATACATATATAGTATATAGTATATATACAATAGTATAGTATAGTATAGTATAGTATAGTATAGTATAGTATAGTATAGTATAGTATAGTATAGTATAGTATAGTATAGTATAGTATAGAGTATATAGGCACAAAATTAGTAAAATATCTTGTAACTATCTTTCAAAAATTTTAATTTGTGCCACCAAGGTCAATCCCTATGAAAAACTGGTAACAGAAGGGGCTTTGAGGCTGGAAAATGAGGAGCAGCAATGCATTATAAATGTATCCTCTCAGAAAATGTTAAATAGAGCTGTAATTCACATCTTTCATTCAATTACTTACTAGGTTTGTTTTGGTTCATCTTCACATTAGGTTTTGTCAGTTTGGGTTTCTTGATAAATGTCCCACCTGGTTTATTATACGGCTGCTGTATCATTTTTCTCTTTATTCCTCGTGCAGCTACTGCTGCAGAACTGGGTTTGTTATGATAGTCTACCACAATTCCAGGTCTATGCATGCCTCCAAAGTCTCCCATATACTGTAAATAGGTGAAGATCAAGTATTAGAAAATGATGTGGCTGACCATAAACAAACTAGCTTACATAAAAACATATTTTAAAATATTTTAACTCAAGAAAAAAACGCAATACTAAGTTAACACATCAGGAATGCAAACTGATTAGTTTTTAAAATATTTGACTTAAAGTGCTTATATCAAATGGATTTCTGCTTATTCAAAATCATTGGTCCAGACTATGAGCCTTGCTAGAATTTTACCCATATTCATTCTCAGGATTCTCAAATAATGCCTCAAACAAACAGAAGAAAAATTATTTCTACAAAACAATAATACAAGAATGCAAACTTAGGGAAAAACAAAAATAATCATGAAAGTCTCTGCCTGAAACATTCATAGCTTCTCTTTTATTATGATTAAAAAAGTTTTAAAATAACCTTTTGATGGTTTAAAATTTGCTCATATGTATGTAAGATTTTCTGTGTATGATATTGTCTATGTTTAAAATTAGTTAATATCCAAATAATTTTTATCTCTTAACACTGTAATGGGATTCCAGTTTCATACTTCACACTTTTTGCTTATGTAAAATATATTTTACTTTCAAACTTTATTTTTCCTATTTCCCTTTTTCTCACAATATGTATATTTTATTCACAATTCAGAGTATAATCTCAAGCATGTCAACTCAGAAATAAGTGCTACTAGTAGGAAGTTCAAACTGTACATGGAATAAGTCTCACTGAACTCATGGGAATTTCTTCTAAAAATACATGGAGAAGGTAAGTTTATTGTTTTGAGGTAACATATCTCATATTTTCCTATTTTCACTAAAACAATAAGTTCCAAGTAAATACATATAGATTTTTTTATGTGAGGCAGGGATTTTAAGATTATGTAAATATTATAAATATGTAAAATAGTCCTGTATTAATTTAGAGTAGATAAAAAGCTAACTTTCATAAAATGTCTTTTCTTTTCCCCCTCATATAACAAGCAAACCTAGTGCAATGCATTAGCCATATTAAAACTGATTAGAAATCTTACATCTTTATCAACAGTTCAACCCAATCAGCAGTTTGTGTGTGATGTGTGTGTATCAATCCCCACCCCCCCCACCCTGTTGAGATAATTGCATATTGTATATAATCTCAACAATTTAAAAAGTATATAAATATTTGAAGGAGCAATGAGAAAAGTAAAATATTAGCCCCTCTTAGATCAAATTATTTCCAAAGGAAAAAATAAAATTTAGAATATCAACAAAGTGGTAAAAAAAATCTAATCTTAATTTGGACATCTATCTTGTAATCAATAGAGCATACATGACTGAATTCATTGGTTTTAAGGCACTGAATGACAGAACAAACTGAAGACAAGGAATGAGTATAATAGTTATAATTTAAGCTGCAATCTGTAATACTAACTCGGGAGTTAGTAGCATTTACTTCTGAATAAACATGCAAAGATTCTACTGTTCACTGACAGTAACATGTAAGATAGGCTCATGTGACTGGATGATTGAAATTATATAAGCAGAAATGAGTAAACTGCCATAAATATTTAATAATAAAAATTAGACACAGTAAAGGCAGTACATTTACACAATACTTTTTTTACTTTGAGTTGCATTTATTCCTAGCAGGCCACAATGTGTTAGAGATCATTATATTAAATAAATCCATGCATATGTTCTATATTTCACTTTGTAACAAACTGGGCTCTAGTAAATAACAGTCTAGCAATATTCTCATCCTGCATATTACATACATCAAAGGACACTTTCTAGGTGATGTACATTTGCACGAGCAAATATTTTCAGAATCTATTAAAGGTGCAATGCATTTCACAGAAACAAGCAGCTTATTTCTTAAAGTAGTTAGTTCTCAAGAGTAACATTAAGCTCAAGAAAAAGAGAAACTACTCAGTACTGCTTAGTTAATTTCACAAACATACCAGACTAAACAAATCAGTTTATTCTTTTATCAACAAATTATAGAAATATTACTAGAGTTCCTAGGTCTATGGATTAAATGCCAATTGTACCCTTCAGAGTATCACATTAATAAATCAATTAAAATATAGTAATAGGCATGCAAAAAACTTTAAAATATTCTACTCTACATTTACTCCTCCAATCTACTTTAAACTTTCAATTGTTTTCTTCAGGCCAGCTTCTTGAAACTCAGTATTTAAAGAGTTTTAAGAGAGCATCTATTGATTATCAACTGAAATGGAACTCTATATAAATTCAGACATGAAATTATAAAGTATGTTAATAGGATATCATCTTATATCTTGAAGCTTCCTGAAGTTTAAGATGCTGTTAATGATGTTTTGATTTGGTAGGGTAATATTTGATATTTGTTTATAATCTTTGAATTGTTCTTTTGAACTTGCACTAAAACGTTAGATTCAGCGTACGTAGGAAAATATCTAGTACTGAATTATAACACAACAGTTGACTTTCAGCATGAACAGTTCTGATGATATCCCTTTAACAATGGTTTGAAATTATGCTTTAATTCTTGCCTGTATTAAATCTTCCCTTCCATGTAAGTCTCAGTGACCTTAAAGTAAGCTGAAATTGAGCATGTAGAACTAATTGCTTCCTGCCTCAACAAAATCTGTTCTGTGGCATTTATTCTCTAAAATCAATAGTATACATACATTGCACCTTTAACCTAGTCAAAATGAAAAAAGGTTCTAATTAACCTTTACAAAGTTTCAAGACTTCTCCCACTAGCCAAGATGCTAGTGTTAACAAGGAAAAATGCAATTCCTTTTAACCCCTTTTAGACCAAACCCATTGCCTTAATATTCACCTTTCACAAAAAAAGTGATTTGATAAAACCTTAGCCACTAATCTTGTAGCGCTTTTACTTGTGTAAATGAAGAGAGAGAGAGAGATAGGGTACTAAGTTCTAGGTAAATACCAAACTGGATTGGAAAGTTATCAACCCTAATAGTTTGGCAAAAACTGCAGTGTGATATACAGTGCTTTTGTTTTAATGCTATGGTCTTGAAAGGGTTTAAAAGAGTCACTAGTGAAAAGAATCTGAAAAGATTCTGTACTTACTCCTCGGCCACGGCCTCTGCCTGTTGATGGTCCTCCAAAAGCATCATAGTTTCTGCTTCCAAATCCACTGTCAGGATAAGCAGGCGTTCCTCTCCCCCGAGAGCCTACAGGTGCAGGCTTCACATGGGGTGAAGAAAAACTGCTGTAGGAAGAGTAAGTCTCTCTTCCTCTGTCCTCCATAAACCCAGGCCTCAATTTTGAGCGTGAGTAAGGTGCTTCCCAGCTAGACCCGCCCTGGTTTCTACCTCCGAAAGAGTCAAGGCTATTCCGGTAGTTGCTGTCAAATCGACCACCATAACTACCTCCGAAGCGGCTTTGTTCGGGTTCATTATAACCATAGCCAGATCTGTACAGATCTCGCCCACCCAGAGAAGACCCGGAGTCGTAAGACTCATAAGGTCCAAACCTGGAAAAGTTGTAGTGAGGAAAAAAAAAGTAAGCTTACTAAAGTTAAAACATTTCAAAAGACAAGTTATCAGTTGACATTTATCAACTAAAATCAATGAATATTCTACTTTAGTAGGGTTTGCTTTGATTAGGGCTGGGCATTTCCATGCTGTGATCAGACAGAAAGCTATCTGAGTCACTTTTCAGTTAAAAATAGTATTAAAATTCAGAATGCCTAAATTTCACTAAATTTAGTTGCTCAAAATTATTATTTCACCTCATTATTTGTGCCCAGACCTAGTCTAACGAATGCAGGCACCTGCATATTTTAAAGGTTCATAAAACTCTTTTGTTTAAAGTCATGCCTAAAACAGTTCAATAGCATTTGAAAGACGTTGCTCTCTACTTAGAAGCTGTGACAGTATCAATAATGCAACTATTTTAACTTGATATTTCAATGGTTCATAGTTCAGTTATATCTTATAGAAGAAATCTAAATAATTTTGCTTAACTACTAGCATGCCTCATCTTCTACTATTACATTTACAATGTGTTAGAGAGGAGTGGGAAATCTATGACCCTCCAAATGTTGTTGGATGGTAGTTTTCATGAGCCCCAGAATGAAAGGCCAAGAAATGCTAGATTTTGGAAACATTTGGAAGGTCATAGATTCACCTGCCTCTGTTTGTAGGGAATAAGACAGAAAACCTTTATAGAACTGAAACGTCAAAATAAATCTTAAATATTAATGACCCTTTAGCACAGAGAAAGGCTGTATATTACATGCAAATACTATATTACCAAAAAGCTGTATGCAGCATTTTAAAAAGATATTAACTGAAGAACAGAAAAAAAGTGCGTAGGGTAACATCAATGTCATATACTGCATAGAAATGGGAAATCATTTTCATCCCAAAAAATTAACTATATTTTAATTCTTAATTAAATAACTTGAAAAGAAACTTCTAATAATTTAAAATCACAATATGAGAAGGCTAAATTTATCTTCTCTCCAGTTCATACTTTAAATATAAAACTTTCATATTTAAAATGCCAACTACAAACAGTCCATTACAACAATAAACTTTTTATATAATGCATTCAGTAAATTCCAACCATATTCAGATTACTAAATGGTAGGTACATTTTTTGCTGATTCTCAAAATAGTTTACATCAATGTTAGTTATATTAATTGTTGAAAAGCACTGTGCATTTATACAGCTAATCTCCCAATTCCTTAAAAATCAATGCCACAAAAAAACTGGAGGAATCCAATTGTCAATCCGTGTTCTTCTTGCCGCCATTGAAGAGTTAGGATATGCAAATGAGACTGCAACCAGGATTAATATATTATACAGTTATTTTGTTTAAAATGCAGAGTTCTTATAAGAAAGCCAAATTTAGAATAAAATTGTGATCTGACGTTAGTAAACATCAATTGCAGGCACAGTGAAAAATCAAACTGTCAGAAATATTACTACAGTGCTAGGAACAATTTTAAAACACTGCAAAAAAGTATGCTTTAGTGTAATTAGTACCTGCCAATAAAATAATCTGGACATGAAAAGCTGTCTACCAATGAATGTTCTTGCAAAAGATATTACTATTCAAATTAAATTTAAGTGTTCCTTTCAAACAGAATGGGGAAACAAAAGCAGCAGTTCTGATTCAATTAAGAGCATTTCAGCTCTGTGCTAATATTTAATTGCTAGGTTTTTAAAGATCACTTGTTGAAACAGATTTTAAGAGAGATCTGAGATAAAACATGCGTTGCAGCATTATATTTTATATAAAAACATTTATTTTAAAATATGCTACACATTACATCTCTGCATAATAACACACCATGCCCTGCAATATGCTTAAGGAACACTTAAATTGGATAGAGGTATACTGCAGAATATATTTATATTATCTTTGACATACAAAGCAAATGATTCAGTATTTTACCTGGCACTGCCACCTCCTCCTCCTCCTCCTCCTCCTCCACTGCCGCCTCCATGGCTTTCCATTCCATATGACTGATTCATATAAGAGTCCATAGCTCTTGGGACACTATAGGCACCATGCCCATAGTCCCGGTCCAATTCTTTAAAAAAAAGAAGGCTTAAGATTACTGAACTGTTGCAGATGAATAAATTAGGCACTCAACTTACAACCACAATTGGGACTAGCGTCTGTCGCTAAGCAATGTGGTTAACTGAGTTGCATCCAATTTTACAACCGCTTTGCTCCTATTGTTAAGTGAATCGTAGGATCATTAAGTGAATTCAGCTTTCCCCATTGATTTTGCTTATGAGAAGCCCCCTAAAAATGTTGTAAATGCTGATCATGTGATCCCAGGACCCCTGTAACCCTCATAAATATCTGCCATTTGCCAAATACCTAAATGTTCACCATGTGACTATGGAATGCTAGGATATAGGTGCAAGGACTGGTTACAAATCACATTTTTCAGTGCCGTCATAACTTTTGTCGTTAAATGTCAAGACCTACTTGAATTCCAGTCCCAAAATCAGCTTATAATAGATATTACCAATACATTTACTACCATACAGCAAGACCACAGAAATTCATTCTGCTTTCTGGTTCAACTAAGGAGGCTAATTTGCAGAAAAGCAGCTAGAAGAGATGGGACTGAGCAAATGAAGCTCAAGCATTCCATATTTCCTTCTTTCAAAAATAAATTAAAATCTGAGAGAAGGGCCACAGGATCATCAAGAAGGATTTTGCCAAAAATATTAAAATTGTACTTCTTCCAAGAGTTCTTTTTTAAAGTGATTTAACAGTAATGCTGAACATGCTGCACTACATTTACCCTCAATAAAATATTTCATTTCTCATAATTTTAGTGATTAATATACAATTTAAAATTATATAGTCACTTTTTTAACTGAGTCTATCAAATACAAGTCAATTAAACTTAAAAATTTCTGAGAAATTTTAAGATTTAAAATTCTAGAAATTCTGTATTAGTGGCTTAAAGAACACATGGAATGGCAAGGAATTTACACAAAGAACAAAATGTTGCAAATGCTTTAATCAGCTACAGACAAGCTTGATAATAAGAGAGAAAAGGTTAAACAAAAGTAGGATCATACATGAGGCATACCCAAGGAAACATCTGGGAAAAGATCATGGTACTAGAATATTTCTTTTTATGTACTTTTTTTTGTTCACACAAAGCTCATCAACTTCAAATCTGCTGCCAGCAATTGTCCCCAAATGGCATCCTGTAGGGCCCAGCATAAGAAAGACATAGAACAGGGGTCTTCAAACTTGGCCCTTTTATGACTTGTGGACTTCAACTCCCAGAATTCCTCAGCCAGCGTGCCTGGGAGTTGAAGTCCACAAGTCATAAAAGGGTCAAGTTTGAAGACCCCTGGCTTAATCTTTCATCTAATGCAGTGTTTCTCAACCTTGACAATTTTAAGGCATGTGGACTTCAACTCCCAGAATTCCACAGCCAGCATTGCTGGCTGTGGAATTCTGGGAGTTGAAGTCCACATGCCTTAAAATTGTCAAGGTTGAGAAACAGTGATCTAATGCCAGCTGGTTTTTAAGGGGGAGAGTTTAAATTACCAAATTGTTGTAAAGGACAAACAAAACAAAATATATAGAACATAGAATTGAATGTTTTATTATTCTAAATCCATAATTGGATCATTCCTGGTGGGATGTAATTAAGTTTAATACTCATTTCCTAGAATGGGAGAAAAATAATATATGGGGATTTAAATGCCTTTCAACTTCTTGCACTGAGATTTATCACATCATTAATTAATGCACAGCAAATAGAGATTAGAGGAGGCAAAGCTAAGATGGCAACAAAGCAGCAATTTCTTCATAAGCAGCTACTTATGATATTTTATTTGGTATCAATTTTTATAACTTAACCACACAGAGCAAATTAATTCTGGCCATATAAGCTTTTACATATGTATACAATTTACCAGCTAAAACTATCAACTTCTATAAAAGTACCCTACTACTTCCATGAAACTACTCAGTTACTATAGTGTCAGTGAAATGTTTTAATCTCAAAGTGCAGCTGATTTAGCATATCTAAAATATCCTTTCCAGAATCAATAGTTAAGACTATGTCAATACTTACAGAAATTATTTTCAAATATATTGAGCACGAGAATGCATTCATTATAGGTAGTAGTAGACTTACAACTGTGGAAGGCAGTCTGTCGTAAGTTAAAATGATTGTAAGTCAAAGCACCTACAGGACCAACCCAATTTTATGATCTTTTTTGCAGCAGTTGTAAAGCAAATGCAGCAGCCGTTAAGTGAGTCATTGCATTCCTATGAACATATTTTTACCAGAAACTGGCTGAAAAAGTTGGTTTCCAGCAAAAAAACATCATAAATCTCTTATTGTGACAGCAGAATGTGGCAACCAGCAGTAAAAGCAAGTTTGTTGCCATGTGCCCAAAATGCATGTAACTATAGTGGTGAGATGTGCCACTATTGCAGTGGTTCTCAACCTGTGGGTCGGGACCCCATTTGAGGTCGAACAACCATTTCACGGGGGTCGCCAAACAACGCAGTCTGCCATTTTTTCCCCTTTTCCTTAGCTGTACTACTCCCTTTTATTCTATTGGCTTTTGAAAGCCAATAGAATAGACTCTCTTGAATACAGTCTAATTCTATTGGCTTTCAAAAGCCAATAGGAATTGTCCAGGCTGTCTCTGCCCTGCTGAGCCCGCCAAAAGTCCCATTCTGCAAACAGTGCTGCAAGTTGTCTGCAGCGAAGGCGAGCTGTCTGGAAGTTTCCACCCCTCCCTGTTGAGCAACTACTAAAAATGTAAGTAAAAGAGGGCCAGGGGTGGGAGGCCGGCGGGCGCAGGGAGGGTTGCTGGCATGTGTGGGGCCCGGCAGGTGCCTTACCTCCCTTGGGCTGGGCCAGCTGGTGGCCCAGCCGGTGGTCGGCCTGCTCCATCTCTGCCGCTTGCCAACTATGCCTCAGCTGGCGCAGGGGGCGGCACCATGCATGTGCGGCGCTCCCGGGCAGGGAAAGTCCTCGACTTACGACCGGTTGGGTAGTCCTCGACCACCTTATCTGCTGTCTCTTCCATCATCTGCCACTCTACATAAGCAAAACTCATTCCCTCAAGGGAGAAGTCCATCTTTATTTTATCTGGGACCTACAGACTTGCCTTCTTTCAATACACAACACACTCTAAAGCTGTAATCTGAAGGTATCTTATCTTCTTTTTCTCTCTCAATGTGCAATGTGCATATCAATATATTACCAGTAGCAAAACAGCTCATTTAAGTATTAACTATACTCTAATCTTTATGATCTTTTCTACATCTATCATTACCTTTTTCCCTAGAATTAAACTGTTTACTTCTAGAGCACACTATTTACTTATTACTCAGCTCAAGGAAAACAAGGCAATTTATGACTTTTACTTCTACACTATCAGCTGTTATCAGCCCTTTAATGTAAGCCAGGTTAAGAAACAAAGGCTACAAGTTTTCCAGGAATGCTACTGTATTATTTTAAGACATATTAATACAATTTTGAAAGTATGTTTCTGTCTGCTCCTTCTTATAACACTATTACCTTAATGGCAAGTTCTTTCCTTCCTTTTTTTAATGTCTCTCATATATTCCCCAAAGTTGACTCTAAGTTCCTTCACAATTCTGAACATTTTAATCATGTTATTACCTTCATTCTTTTAATATTTAATATTAATCCAGATCTTCACTTTCAATTTTTAATTTTATATGTTAATTTTATAATGAGTTCTTTTGACTCTTCTTCACTTTCTGCTAATGAAATGTAATTGTCTAAATATCTAATACTAGATGTCATTTCTTTCAATTCTGCCATTCTTTTAGTGGCACTTGCTAACCCTAAGTTGAGCCCTTATTTTGAATCAATCTTTTCTCTTAACAAAGTTCCTAATGATTCCTCAGAATCACCGGTTGTACTGTCATATTATTATCCACATTCTTGCATGATTTATACAGGGTTCCCAAGCTTGTGGTCCATGGGCTGCATGTAGACCTCCATGACATTTTCTGTGGTTTACAACAATAGTGGCCAGAATAAGTTCTGGAAGGCATCTGTCTCTAATCTAACAGGATCTATCCCAGGAGACAGCAATGCTCTCTGTTCATGTCTGGGGGTATAACAAGTGAAGCAAGAGCAAACTAAATTGACAAGATAAGGATGGAAAAGAGAAGCTTTCCCCATGGCCCCAAAATAGTAAAAAGCACCTCACTCACTGCACATGTAACAGTAAACAGCTTGATGATCTTGGACAAGAACTATGGATCCACCCTGAATATATAACTGAGCATCAGGAGACTGGTAAAAATGTAAAGGCAGTGAAATTCACCAGGCTCCTTGCAGATGCTGAGACCAACAGCTTCGGACTAATAATAAATTCAGGTACTATGAGAAAGGAGGCCAAAACCCTAGTCCCACTCTTCCCATCTTGCCTGGTCTCCTATCCTAGTCCCTATCCCTAGCTATAGCTACTTCTATAGTTACTCCTCTACTCTTGTGTAGAGATACAGTCTAAGCCTGGCTCCGTTAAGAGCTGTGAGTGGTGGTGTCCCCACCTAAAGTTTCAGCACTTTATTACAAAATTTCTGGGATTTGCTCCAGCCTCTCTCTATGCAACAACTATTCACCACATGTTAACAGTAATTTAAACTCACCACATGTTAACAGTAATTTAAACTATCGTTGTACAGCTATCTTTGCAGCCTATACACTCACTCCTCATTTAGTAACCACCTCATTTAACAACCATTCACAAATATAATGGTAATAAAAATTATTTTCCAATCAATGTATATAATTATTACCAAATTTTGGACGCCTAACAACACACATCAGAGTGAGAATCCTGGCATAGCTATACAAAAGAAGTTTATATGAGTAAAACAGCAGCAACTAGTGATCTTTGAAACATTTG